AGTGAAAAACTACTTCGAATTGCGAATGTCGATAAGTTTGCTTCGCTTCCGGTGAAGCACCCAAAGTCTTTGGGTTTTGCCTCACCCAACCACGCACCAAAGTCTTTGGGTTTTGCCTCACCAACTAAGCGAACCGAAGAGGAGTTTTCTTTGTACGTTCGTATTAAAACTTTCCACATGAGTGCCGTGCATGCAAAGAATTACAAAAGGGCAAAATCACCAAACCTACTTTGACACGTATAAAGTTTAAACTGTAAAAAAAAAAAAAAAAGGTACAAGTCATATCATTTTTACTTAATTTTACATGTTTAAAAAGTCAAAAAAAAAAAAATATTGATATTTTAAATTTGAAAAAATAATTTAAAGGGTGTCGTTTCTATAAAGTTGTAACTTTAAACAATCCAATAAAAGCGTACATTAAAATTTTATCATAACATATAATTTTGTTGTCAAAAAATCTGAATATGATCTTAAAATTTATTTTCATACCTAATTAGAAAATTTTAAATTTCAAAAATGGTTAAAATCAAGTAGATCTATAAATAGATGAAAATCTTGAAAATAGACAGTCTAGATAATGTGTTGTAAGATACACTATTTTCGGGATTCAAATTTTTTTTCTTTTTCATATTCATAGATCTCGATGTCGAGATGACTGATTAGAGGGCTTTTTCAACATTAAAACAACATTTCCGAAAGATTTTTGAGGTGCATATGTGATTCTACATTTAAGGTTGCAACCTTATATAAACTTTTCCCTAGTTTAAATACTTTCTAATTTTTATTATCATGCTCCTAACTCCAAAGGAATTAAAAATTGTGCGCGGTTTATATAGAGCGGCTATAAGCAATCGAAGTAAAGCGCACCTTCAAATAATGTCGAGAAATATGGTTTTAATATTGGAAATATTTGAGATAGCCTTAAAAAAAAAAAAATGTTTTCATCTTTAATTATAAAGTTTAAAGCTTTAAAAAAAATGTAGATTAAGCAGATCTATGAAAACTTCAAATCTTAAAAATTAATGGTCCAAAAATGCGTTAAAATATGCACTATTTCCAAAACTTGAAATCTATTTTTCTCCCAAGTCCATACATCTTGATGACGAGATGATGAATTTGAGGATATTTGGGCATCAGAACAACCTCTTGTAGCAAAATGTTTTTAGGTGAGCTCTAATTTGATTGTTTAGAGCCTAGGCTTTACATAAATTTTTTTCTTAAAAAATTAAATTTAAAATTAAAATTGAAAATATTAAAACAATCATTTTATTTATTATTGAGTGTAGTAATAAATTTATATAAATATATAAAAATAAATAACCGAAGCCTTCTCCCGAATATCAAATTGCTTCATTTTTCAGACCAAACCGTAGCAGGCTCCGAAACGAAAATGAAAACATTTCAAATTGAAAGTATTTTTCATGTAAATATCTTCCGGTCAAACTTTCACGTGTACCAAACGACCCCTATTAGCAAACCAGGTTATAGAGAAAGGTCATCCAAACATGAGATTTGCATAACCTAGATACCATTCAAAGAGGTCCAAACAAATCTTGTTTAAGTAATCAAGTTTTAACATAATCAAGATTTGACATAATAAGGTTTTGATTCAAACCTGGGCTGGTTAACTCAATGAGCCAAACAGCCCTTAGGGGCTATCAAATCTCCTAAGTCCTAATAAAATGTTTGAACCGCAGGACCACACTTTTCATTAACCAAACAAGACGTTATTACAATGACAACTAATGCAGGAATTTGGGTATCCTAAATTGTTTTAAAAACATTTTACAAATTGTTTCCTAAGTATGCTCTTAACAAAGTGGTTGAGCTGTAGGACCTCACTTTTCATTAACCAAAAGAAAAGTCATTATGACGATTACTAAATAGGGAATAATATAAGGAATTTGGGTGTCTTAAATTGTTTTTAATAACATTTTACAAATTGTTTTGAATGGATCAACCGACTTCCACGTTGTTTTGAAATTTGACTTTTTGTGAGTTATGACGTATTGAGTGTTCTTTCGTTTACGAAATTATTGAAGTTGACTGCGTGTTTCAGAATACAAAGGCAACAGATAACGGAGTCGTTGGCGGCTGCCATGTTTGCCTTTTACTAGGGTAACAACCGTTACAGCAGGAAAAATGGTGTTTAAGAAAAACGATAGAAATATATGGAACGTTATAATATTTATTGGAAAATTGTTCCCAGCGGTGGGAAGAGCATTTCTACATTTGCGATCCTAGAGAGACAAAGCAGCGTTGTTAAAGATGGATCCAAATTGGTGGTCCATCTAAAAACAATTGAAACTAATGGTCCATATGTTTTCTTAATAGAATATTATTTCTAATTGTTTAAACTTTTTTTATATTTGTTCTATATTCATGATCTTCATGTTAGAGATTACATGTCTTTAAAAATAATTCCAAAAATCCATCTCAAACGTAGATTTTTAAGGTCACTCATATCTACGAACTCATAGAAACCGTATCCATTTTTTTATTAAAAAATGGTTTCATAATACAAATGAGCAGTCATTCCTTTTTATATTTTGAAAATAATGCCTATTATTTCCATTATTTTTTATTTTCAAGAATTATTTTTTTGAAAATTTATTATATAAGGTTTACTCTTAAAATGTAGATTTAAGGTGCACATCTAAAATCCTTCGAAAAAAGTTGTTTTGATGTTGGAAAAATATTTAATTGATCATCGAAAAAAGTTGTTTTGATGTTGGAAAAATATTTAATTGATCATCTCAACATTGAGATGTATAGATCTAGGGGAAAAAAAGATTTCAATTCTTGAAAACAGTAAATCTTGCAACACATTTTCTAGATGGTCCATTTACAAAGATTTTGATAAATATATAAACATGCTTGATTTGAACTATTTTTAGAGTTTAAAATTTTATAATAAGAGACAAAACTAGATGCATGCACCATCCTAAGAATTTCGCCACCAAAAGCATCTTATGACAAAGTTTGGGGGTGCGCCTCAATTTGATTGTTTAAGGTTGCGACCTTATTATTTTAGTGCTATAAAATTGTAGAATTAAGGTGCACCTCAAAAATTCATCGGGAAATGCCTTTTTATTGAAAAACCCTTTAATTGATATGAAAACTCTCTAATTGATCATCTTGACATCGAGATGTATGAATATGAAAAAAATAAAAATAAAAAAGATTTCAAGTTCCAAAACTAGTGCATCTTCCAACACATTATCGGGACTGTCCATTTTCAAGATTTTCATATGTTTATAGATCTACTTGATTTGAAGCATATATTTTACAAAAACAATTATTTCATGCGGGCTAGATCGCATGAAACAATATGCGGTCTTGATGTATAAATGTGG